TCTAGAGGGCTCATTGGTCCGAGGATGTCATTGGACCTTACTTCTTTGAAAACGACAACGTCGAGGTGTCACTGCCAATTTAGAGTGTTATGCTCGTATGATAATCGACTTTTCTGGCCTGCAATCAGAGAGCACGGCTTGGAAAACATGTAATTTCTGCAAGATGGCACCACATACCACACAACGCGAATGGAAATGGCTTTATAATAAGAAAATTTCCCGGCCAGTAATTTCTCGTCTTAGCCATCTCAATTGGCCACCAAAATCGTGCGATTTGACACTGTTGGACTTTTTGTGTGGGACTATGCAAAAGACCTTTAACTCTTGAGCGCTTGAAAACCAACCTTCGTCAAGTTATGACTGAGATACCGTCCAGTATGTGTCAAAAGTGGTCGAAAATTACCTTGAATGGAGCAAAGTTGGCAAAAAACACCCTTTTAACGAATAGTGTTTCATAATGCCGCTTACATTCGAAACCCCAAAGTGGATAACCCTGTATATATTAACGTCGATCACTTTCAACTTGGCAAATGCCAATATACTCAATCATTCAATTCAAAGAAAAAAAAAAGACAAGTACAACAAAACAAATTGAATTAATTTCATATGATATCATCGTAACGTTTAAATAAAAAAATATGCTTTAATAAAGTAAAATAATATTTAAATTACTATAATAAATTTAAAATGTATATTTTTCTATAAGACGATAGAAGAAGAGCTTATACGAAAAGACTATGGATATTTCTAGAAATGTTTCAGAAGCTTATTTTCATTATTAAACGTTTTTTTTTGCAGCCGACCTTCAAAAGAACGTCAAGCTAACTAGCTTATTTTCAACTCCCCCGCATATCCAGTACTCAGTACAGTACAGATTTCTTATGTATGGTCGAGTACGCTCTCAAGTTTTGGAAGGAAATTATCTTTTTAGCACACGGGTTTAATATCAATTATGTAATATCTCTTGACATAAAAATATTTTTCCAAAATGCTTTGGAAATCATACATTTCTAAGATTTCTTAACACAAGTCAATTATTTCAGTCTGACAATCTAAGCACCAAAAAATCTAAATTATTGATTAATACTTTGAGAGCGAACCCTGCAAAAATTTGTGGATCACACGCTCTATTGGATTACTACTTGCAGTACTTTTCTGTAATGCGATAGTGGATCCATTCAATATATTAACAATTAATTATTACTATACAAATAATTTGCCATTTGAAAAATGTTATATTTTACTAGGTTTATGCCAAAGCGGTTGTATTCGAAATTAGAAAAAATATGTGTTAGGTTAGTAATCCATGGAGTATTCTTTGTGGAGTGGTTTCGAAACTAATTGACTGCAGGTTATCCATGGAGTACTCTGCTGTTATGCAGAGGTGGAGTAGAACATCGCAATGTTAATTAGCCTAAGCATTTTGTTAGAATCATGGTAAGTTTTGAGGTACTCTTGATTCCTTCGGGATTATTCGGACCTCGGATTAATTGCGATTTTCGCAGAGGAAGCAGTTATATTTCTACCCTGTGGACCACAAGCACACCCCAATTTTTTTTTTAATTTCCTTAGGCAAATTTAAATCATAGTAATGCGATTCCGCGCCCCTTCTTTCACTGTTGATAGTCATAATTTTGAAGTTATAGATAATTTCGTCTATCAACAGTCTGGAAATCCAACGCAGAATCACTGTTCTCAACTACTTTTGATCGAGTAGGCAATTGAAAAGCAAGACCTCTCTCGACGAACCAAAATCTGATTTCATTATCACCCATCATGCAATTCCTACTGAATTATGCAGAATCATAGACACGAACGACATCTGATGAGACAGAGCTTTGAGTTTGGCGTAAGATTTATGGTATTTTGCGCATTGGCTACCGCGAATATCGCAGACGATGGAACGAGGAAATGTTCGAAATATACGGTGACATTGAAATAATTCAGCGGATTAAGCGACAATGGCGGAAGGCCCGGGTTCATATTCCGGTGCGACCAATATCAAAAAGTGGTAGAAAATTAATTTAAAAAAAAAAAAACTAAGTTAATTTTTCTAATTGCGGTCGCCCCTCAGCAGGGAATGTCAAGCCCTCCGAGTGTATTTCTGACATGAAATAAAGCCTACTCATAAAATACCATCGGAGGTGGCTTAGTACAAACTGTAGGCCCTTAAATTTGTTGGTAAAACAAAAGGCTGCTAAACCACAAATTGGAGGAGGAGCTCGACCGAAAATCGCTAAAGCAGTTACATGCATAAGAGACTACTGCTACACTACACTATGGCGAAATCATGTGGCCTGAGTGGAAGTCAATATTCCAGCATTTAAAGTATTCTGTGTAGCGCCCGCCTTTGGAAGCAGAGAAATATGAAGACCTCCAGTACGTTGAAAAGATCATTCGGAGAAGGACTGAACCACACTAGATATTTTCATTTGGCGTCAAACAGCGAAATAAAGAAAGGAAAGAAATGCCACTAAAGTTGTTGAAGAAGATATTTATTTTCTTTTTGCACAGAAGTTTCGGCACACCAAGCAAGTAAGAGCCCTCTCCCTTAGGTCGGCGTCCGATAACTACTTGTCATGCTTTGAAGTGCAAAATTTTTGCTTGCACAATCGTCAAGGAAACGCGACTCCAACAACTTTTTAATATTTTCGTTTGATGAAGCGGAAATTCGCAGCCCACTACATTATGCCCCCCCCGTATACGTCAACACCTATAGGTCACGCTTGCTTCCACCAACCAACGAGTGCAACGCTAAGTGGGGCATCGTGCATCGAATTGTCGACCATAAATTGCGGTGCATAGTGTTCAATTCATTTCTTTCTACTCTAAACTCGATTCGCTATCTTACGCTCCTCCATTGCCTTTTTGTGTGTCCGTCGACGACGGTGTGCTAATGCTATTCTAATGTGTTTTAATTTAATTGTCGATCGGCTTGAACGCCTTCGACGCTTTGGCAGCTAGCTGGTCGGCAAGCGAGCAGCCTTACGAAATTAATTGAATTAAGTTGTTGATTGAAGCGTGTGGCAGCATGCGCTGGGCATTTATATGAGGTTTCTTTTGTAATTTGTTTCGTAGATTTGTAAATAAAGTGTTGCGGTTACTCGCCGCTCAATCGTTCCACACTTCATTCGGTTCATAGTTGGTTTTTCTATTTTTCCCGATTTCTATTATTTTTCTTTTATTTATATGTTTTTATTTGAATTTTCTTCGGTGCAGTGCTTTTTTCGTTTATTTTTGGTTTTGTTTGTATATTGCAAGTGGATGGATATTAACCTGCCGAATAAGTTTTCGATTGTGAAAGGCAAAAGTTTGTGTAAACATCAACTTACAGCGAACCGCTTGGAAAGTACGGAGTTATTTTTATTTTGATTTTGTTATTTTTTTTGGTTTCTATGCAACAGACATTTTTGTATTGTAAGTATGGGTATAAGGTGCTCGACCCGGGTGATTTGCATCATCACTGGCTGACACACCAGCGGTATGCTCGGAGACTAAAAAGCTATACCCACTTCAGGGTGGTGTTCCATATTTCTCATAGTTATGAGCCTTCTGTCCAGATCCTATCTTTTGCTCTCGTCCAAGTCTCGCGGTATGTGTTACCGTGTGTCGACGTTCATTGTCAGCAAGTCGCCAGTGTTTTCCACTAAGATTTTTCCTTCAAGAGTCTCTTTCTGTTTTTCATTTTCCGCATTGGACGCTCTGTGACGTCCTCAGCAATGTCTCCATAAATATTATACTTGAAGGTTCGTCCATTTTGTCCATCTTGCGTAAGTATTTTTGGAAATACCTGTGTCCCGGCAGAAGTTGCTTGAGTTAATAATTTATCTCGTCGCCTGTTAGGTTTGGTATAAGATTAGCTCTGTTGGGGTCGTTGTATATTTCTTGCCATTGCGACTTCTGCTGCTCTATCCCATGCATCTCTTTAGTGAGTAGGCCTATCGGTATGGATCCACTGATTGCACTACGTCCGTGGATACTGCCCAATATGTTGATAATATACGCAGAGCGCATGTCCTTTCTTTTAGTACTATTAGGGACCAGCCCATTTTTTCACAGAAGTATTGAGTTTATGGGGATCGTAAGTAGTATTTTCTTTTTTTCGGTTAGGCCGCCCGTAGTCGCCGGTAATCTACTGGTTATCTGTGCTGCTTTAAAGTTCTAGTATTAAATCGGGGATCGGCAGAATAAGAAAAGCAGAAGAGAGGGACCTGGAACATTCTATGAACCATAAGTACGCCAAAGATTCCTTCAATATCGGTGCCAATGCTTATCATTGGCCTCCATCGCGATCTAATTGCTGCATTACCATGGAGTGGGCTTTCTTCTGCCTAAAGTTTGTATCCTCCGGTTGCACTTAATTCATCCCTAAGTAATTTCCAGATCTAGAATTAACTGCTGGTTGGATACTATTTTAGCTTTATGCATATCATTTTTATCTTTTTGGCTCCGATTGGGTGACTTTAAAATGATGGACGTAAGGGATCTGGCCACATGCGACCGCTTTACTTTAAGCTTTATAACTACCTACCTTCGCTATTCTGAGGCTCAGCTCATCATTTCTTCATCATGTATGATATTTGGCATTTCAATCGGCTGAACGATTGGCGCTCGCAAAGATGGCAAAAATAATGTTTCGACGTTTTGTCGTCTCCTAAGCATGCGCAGCCGATACTAGATCATTTTTTTAGATCGGCTTTAAAATATAGTAACATCCGTTTTTCTTAGTAAGTTTGGAAGTTTGATCTCTCTGCCGATAAGCCTGACCTACTGCAATTTAATTGGAAGTGTTTGAGGGCGTTCCGGTATGATCAGAGGCTGAAATGGCTGTGCCGTGGTATTCCGCGACGGTACCACTATTGGTGCAAGAACTTGAAGCCATAGCAGATGCCCAGAACTAAAGGCAAGTTTGTCGTTCTTAAAGCAGAGGCCATCCGAATAGAATAAAATACAATAAATAATTGGTTCTTTATCGAAATTTATTTTTACTTTAGCAACGCACTTCACTCCGTATATGGCGGCAATTCATCATCGCGATTTGGTGGTAACCCTCTTTTCTCATATTCTGCGCCATCCAAACTTTCGCTCGGCTGGCGTGCACCCAAACGCCTTGGTTTGAACTCGTGCCCGCCCAATGTTATGCTGGGCGGTATCTTCTTGCCGCGAAACTTAATGGCATCGAATGCCGGTGGCGGTGTCTTCAATTCTGGCGAATTATCACCCGTATGCCAAATAGTAGCGATGCGTTTCTTTAATGGATTCATCTTCGGTACGAGTTGTTTGGTGGATGAAGCGGATGCCGGTTTCACCTTTATTACTTCACTGAAGCGATGCATGATGGCGTATTTGCGGCGATAGTAGATAATTTCCAACACCAAGGTGACCATTGCTAAGCCTAGGCCGAAGAGTGTCGCTATGAAGACGCCACCCAAACTCTCCAGTGAGATGCCCTCCTGCTCCTCATTCACCGAACAGGCTTTGATGAGTGATATATTCCAATATTTCGCTTTGAGATCTTCAAAAAAGCGATCTTTCTGTAACTCCAGCAATGCATAGCTCAATTCGTCCTGTGTGGAGTTTGGGAGAAACTTGTACAGTTGTGCTTTGTATGAAAATGGCGCCGAATCTTACCGCAAAATGTGATCCTTGTTGTATTGCAATGGCATAGGGCTGTTCAGCGAACACTTCGCCAACTTCAGTTAGATTACAATTGCGTGTTAATTCATATTTAATTTCGGATGAATCGTGTATAAAAGCAAAATCGGCATTTTCATGTTCGTTCACCTTACGAAAGCCCTCTTTAGCATCCTTAACCGGCTCGGATCCATTGATTGCTAATAATATGGTGCCATATTGTTCTTTAATGGGGTAATCCCAAATTCTGGAATTATTAGACTCCATAAATTATAAGAAAATGAGAATGGGAAAAAATTTACGAGAGAAAAGGAGAAAGAGAGAATGAAAGAGTGAGAGAAAGAGATAGAGATAGAGAAGGAGTGAAAGAAAGAGTGAGAAAAATAGTGAGAGAAAGAGACAGAGAAAAAGTGGGAGAAAGAGTGGGAGAAAGAGATAGAGAAAGGAAAGGAGTGGGAGAAAGAGATAGAGAAAGAAAAGGAGTGGGAGTAAGAGATAGAGAAAGAGAAATAAAGGGAGAAAGAAATAGAGAAATAAAGAGAGAAGTAAAGAGAGAAATAGAAAGAGAAAATAAGAGAGAAAAAAAAGGGAAAGAAAGAGAGAGAGAGTAAGAGAGAGAGAAAAATAGAGAGAGAAAAAAATAGAGAGAGAGAAAAATAGAGAGAGAGAAAAATAGAGAGAGAGAAAAATAGAGAGAGAGAAAAATAGAGAGAGAGAAAAATAGAGAGAGAGAGAGAAAAAAGAGAGAGAGAGAGAAAGAGAGAAAGAAAGAGAGAAAGAGAGAGAGAGAAAGAGAGAGAGAGAGAGAAAAAGAAAGAGTGAGAAAGTGGGAAAGAGAGAAAGGGAGAGTGAAAAAGAGAGAAAGAGGGAGAGTGAAAGAGAAAGTAAATTAAAAGAAATCTCGCACTATTCAATAAAAATTGGAGCCACACAAAATTCACTTTTCTTATGGCCTACGCAATAGTGGTTAGCATTGTGTATTGGAATTTGGAAGGCCTGGGTTCGATTTCTGGTTCGACAAAGAACCAAAATTATTTTTTATAATTGCTATCGGCCCTCGGAAGAGAATGTCAAGCCCTCTAAGCGTATTTCTGGCATGAAATAAAGGAGACATCTTAGAATAAACTCTATTTGTTGGAAAAATATCAAGACGAAAAACTACATCTTGGAGGAGGAGGTGCTCAGCCGAAAATCGCTTCAGAAGAACTGGCAGGTTAAACGTAAATGGAGTCTAAGCCAACGTTTTTAAGTTTCTTTTAACATGGCTGAAGTCGGAAGCGCAGACCTGAAGTCGGTTTAAATAGCCTCTTTTTAATTTAATCATCGCGTTTTCTCATCCAAAAATCAATGGGAATCCGGTAGAGGCGATAAATTCTTAAAAATAATTTCGTATGAACTGAACAACTTGCAGGATTGTCGTAAAACTAGTAGTTTTTCAAATCTCAGTCCACCTTTTAAATCCAATTGAACTATTTGGGATCCTTCCCTACCTGTATCTTTGAAAATCATCCGTCACATTCAGCACCAACTCCTTCCACATGCGATACAGAGTATCTTCGGCAAATTTCATATTAATAAAGTACTGATGTGTACTAGATCCTTCGACCACGGTATAATTGATTCTCGATTGCCGAGCTAACTGCTCCAAAGACTGCACCGGCGTTTGCATACGTTCCACAGTTAGAAAGGCAGCCAAGTTCGCAGTGAAGGTGGCTAACATCAGCACAACAAAGAGCCAATAAGCAGCGACCATTACACGTCCTGAAACCGCCTTTGGTGCCTCGCCACCGCCCTGAGGCGTAAAAGAGGTTAGAGCGAACCAGAAACTCTCGCGCAATGTGAATTCTCTGTAACGAGCGTACAAAGTAATGAAATTCATTTAAATTACTTTAAACTCACCTGCATAGGTACTGATAGGCGGCACGATTGTTTCTATAGCTGTAAGGTGAAATCTTTTCGAGCAACCAAATCATAAATGCACTACCAACTAGCGCTGCGATTATACTGAACCATACCTCCACACGTAAGACTGTCATAAACTTGAAGAGCGACGTCTGACGCACCGGTTTACGCATCACAATCGATATGCCAGTTTGTTCAAAATATGGCGCTATATAATCTATGACCTCCTCGCGTTCGGCATACATTTTCAAAGCGGTGACTGCGAAGTCCGTTTCGCCCGTAGTCAAGTCGCCCACAATGCCATCCCATTTACCCGTGGACTTGTCATAACTACCAAACTCACCCGTAGTCGGTGGTACCAGTATGTAGCCAAAATTAAGACGCTCTGCTAACTTTTTAATTGAATCAATACAGAAGCCCTCCCAAATGGGGTTGCCATAAGCGTCGAGTACAAGTTCGTCTGTGTTTGGATCGCGCTTCATATAATTCCATGGCATGGCCTATGGAAAAATGTCAGAGTAATTTTAGAGCACACAAATTTGAAAGACCTGCGCCTCACCTCTACTGTGCCTATGCGAAAGAAACGTCGCGGCGGACTTAAAGTCTGATTTATTTTGCGCAATTGACCATATTGCCAAATAGCTAACTCCGTGGCGGTTTCGTGTTCGCTCGAGTAGAGATTTATGTTGATTGTAGGTGAGTAAGTGAGACGTGGCAACAGTTCGAGTTCATCTTCCGGAAACGTCGAATCTGTTGTAAAATATATAAAATCACTCAGTGGGAATTGTTCCAGAATATCAAAACCCGTTGTTGCATTCTCATTGGGACTCGTGGCGTTGCATTCCATCATATAGGATTGCAGCCAATACACATTTCTTTGTTTGATCTCGATTAGGCCGCGTAAAATTTCCAATAAAATGGCGCCTTGAAACTGAGAAAGGTTTTAAAATAAAACCAGTCATATACCGTTAAACATAATTTCCTTACCGTAAATCCCTTGAGACAATAAGTATCCTTCATTCGCAGCGCACGGCAGAGTGTCTTCGGATTAAGCGTAAATTTTGTAGCGTCATCTACCAACTTCTTGGACTTAAAGACACGATCGCGTGGATCTAAATAAATGAAGTGCCACTCACGTGGTCGCTCGAACAACTTGCCTTCGGAGATCTGAAACCATTTGCCATTTTTTTTTTATCGAAATTCTTTTATGAAAGCTCAGTTCCCATCTATTTTACCCTCTCGAAAATGTTGTTCATCGCCGTTCCGCCAGCAAAAATGGCATAACATGTGGGTGCTGGTCGCAGTTGTCGTATCTTCTGCACAAAATCACTTTCATCGAAAGCATGCAGTACGAGCGTGCGAAAAGAAAAGCCTTCGATAACCTGTATGATTGCTTCCTCGGTTTCCTAGATAACGCAAAATATTCCATAAATATCTGAGCGCCTATACAGTTGGATCTTATATATTTACCTTTTCATTTTGAAAGATCATTATACATTCATGTCCAGATTTTTCTAATACGAATTGCGAAAACATTTTTAAATAGGGCGCCATTATGCGCTCTACTCGAAGAACAGGTATTTGATAGTTTCTGAGTAGCTCCAGGCCATCACGCCAAAAGTGGTAGGTGAAATCGATAACAACTGAGACGCCTTCAGTACCGAGGAGTGTACAGACTGTGTAAAAGAAAGTAATTTGTAGTTTTCTTTAAATATGTTATAGAGCTCGTCCTCATAAGAATAACTTAAGTCCTGGGCTTCAGCACAGTCGCAAGCTCCTTAGCTGGTGATCTTAGCTTGCCGTTGGGTCGAGAAATTCATGTAACTCGTCGGATAGCAGCGGATGCGAATCATGTGCGCAAATTTAAATGGTTGGCTAAATCGAAAGTTCGATAGACTTTTCGATGAAACTTCAGAACAGCGACCATAAAGATGATGTACTTGAGAACCCCTGCGGGTTGGGAGTTCAAGAATTTACCCGCGGTAAGGCATACCTGTCGTAAGACGCGACTAAAATCCAATAGTTCCCGCTGCAGTCGGGTCTTTATACCGGAACGACCCGGATTTTTATCCGGCCAAGGACTGTCACTTCCGCAATATTCCCCAAAAAAAATTTTGGGGAATAATTTTCCGGTTACAACAACAACAACAACAACAACATGATGTACTTGAGTGGTACATCGCGAATTTTATAGGTTTAAATGCCGTACATATTGCCTGTTATAATCTGAAGGGTGTTTTTTTAGGCATGTAGTTTTCAAAAAGAAGTAAGACGCATGGAATTCAATGTTATGACCAAGAATTTAGCTTTATTATAAAGATAAGCCTTTGCCATAATGTTTCAAAAATGATTTTGTGCAAGTGACCGCCCCAGCTGGCTAGAAGAAAACTTCATCCAAGAGGCTCAATTTTTGAACACTTTGCAGTAATTGGCATCCACATGTTAGTAGTTTAGTCAAGAGAGTGACAAAAGCGATTTTTTTGGCCGAGCTCCTCCTCCAATTTGGGGAAAATTTGTTTCTTCATATAACACTACAAAATATAGGCCAGCGATGTTAAATCGCACGATTTTGAAGGACACCAAAAGTTTCCTTCAATAAATTTATTGTTTCGTTGGCTAGATGGCATGTAGCGCCGCCTTGTTTAAACCTATAGTCGTCCACTTCGACTTCCGCCAGTTCAAGCAAAGAAAAGGTCAGTAATCATGGCTTGATAGCGTTCCCCATTGGCTATGATATTACGGCCAGCTTAATTTTTGAAGAAACATGAACCAACTATTCCCTCTTCACATTGAGCATACCAAGCACTGACTTTTTGATGATGCAACGGGGTTTCAAGAGTGGTTAGTGGATTGCCAATACTCCAAGCTCGGCAATTTTGTTTATTATCCTACTCATTCAATCGAAAGTGAGCTTCATCGCTGAACAAAGTTTTCTTGGGAACATCAGGATCGGTGGCCAACTTGTTTTGGTTCCATTAACATTAAACTTGGTATGAAACCGATCCATGGTTTCTGGAACTACCGCCTCTATTGGGCAGTTATTTTATCTTAGCGCGTGATGCGTCGGGCGAACCGAAAATTTATTTCGGTAATAAATTTATACGACTTGTGGACGGTGTGCCAGAGTAAGTTTATTTAGTATGAAATAGCAAACCAAACAGTCAGAAAGACCAACACCCAGAAAAGTATTATATATACAATAATTCTCGCTTTGTAATCGCTGAAGCGATTTTCGGCCGAGCTCCTCCTAAAATTTGGTGTTATGCGTCTTGATATTTTTTCACTAAACAGAGGAACCTACAGGAAACCGAGGGGTTTATATGAGAAGCTTTTGAAAAACTATTTTTTTATAATTTTTGGATGTAGCTCGAACCACTACTCGAATCCTGGACTTCCGAAAGGTAGAACGCAATGGCAATCACTCGGCTATCGCGGCCGCCCTGAAAAGTATTGCCTCATCGAAAATTACACCTCTTAAAAGACATACTTTAGAGGAAGTGGAGGTTGTCCTCGATTTACTCTTTTAAACGGAGTAGAGATTTTCATCTTCCTAAGCTTCCAAGTGCTGCGTTGAAACTTGCAAAGCTAGAGTGTCCACCTGGACAACATATCCTAGACAACTCTTTTTTTATATCTTGTATCGTCAGCGGGTTTCGACTTCGTGCATATTTCAATTTATTCCCAAAGTTCCCAGTGACGTCTCATCGAATATTACCATTGGAAGAAATTGATAAGCAATTTGTGGAGCTTGATCGGGAGGGAAACTTTCCGTTCTAGTAATTCTGGTAAATCATTCAAATTGGACTGATGGATTTCATACGCCAGAGCTCGATTTGCAATTGATTAAATTGAGAAAAGTTCTTGTTGTGACGGATTTGTGAGGAATCAGATCTTTGGAAACAAGAATTATTTTAGGATTATGAAATTATTCGTATCTGTTGCATTTAAGCTTCAAATTTAATTTTTATGTGCATACATACACTCACCTACACATTTATAGATATATTTACAACTCACTATCAAATCTACGTACACTTTTCCAGATTTTGTTCCCTCTTCTTGGCTTCATTTTCTACAACCATTACATAATGCTGGATCTTGGTTTGCAAGTCCAAAGCTTCAATTTCCTTTACAGTACTGGTAATATCCGCTTCAATACCCGCTTGCAGAGGATCAATCCAAAAGGCTGCGAAGAATATCAAGATTTTTCTATTCATATTCATATATATATAATATCCACGGATGCTTTGTTTTGATTACCAATTTTCAATTCATTTGCAACAACACAGCTGAAAATTGCTAAAATCGCAAACTTTTGCGGGAGCCACATAATACTGACACAAAATCTGAAAAACATCCACTCACAGCGTATATTGGCAAAGAACTGGTTGAGGGCGGCTGCTCGGGTCTATGGCATAAGTTGTCATTCATATAGATATAAAAATAATAATGAAAATTGCGCGCAAGTGACAGGTCAAGGCTGATATTTAAATTACATAATAATTTCAAGAAATTTACTTTGATTTCCGCTATCGCAGTCGGTTGACGCTTTTGAATTATTTACAGTCCTTGCAGGTGAAGTGATGTCTGGCTTTTTAGTGGTTGTTTTGTAGAAGACTGTAAAGGAATTAGGAGATACACGTACATGTATCTTGGGAAGACAATTTCTAAATTTACATACATGTATATATATATGTATATTATGAATTATTATTTTCCAATTGGTCGGTAGTGTAAATATGAAAATAAAAATCAATATTATATACAGTATTAAAAATAGTAATAAATTTTGAATTAAAAACTCACGTAGTTCGAAATAGAAGACGAGATGTAGTAGAAGTATGGCCTATCTGGAATTGCGTTTTTTTCTTTTATCTTGTTCTATTTTATTGTATTATATTTCATTTTATTAATATTTTTCTTATTTTATTTCATATAACTTTATTTTTTATTTGATATTTACTATACACGTATTTTATTATTATTTTATTTTCATTTATTTCCCTGTTTTTTCATCAATTAATTATTTTTTTTTTTTCTACTAGAGTTTTCACGCGATTTCGTGGGATATTATTTTTACGTTTTTTATTTTATTATAACTCATAACCTTTTACGTTCAAATGTATGAAAAAGTAAAAAAAGTTTTCCACGCATTAGTCTAGGTAAGGACCTTGCTATGTTCCAATTTTCAAGAAAATCAAACTATATATATTATTCTGTTAGATATATGGACTGGTTAAAAACTGTATCCACACATTAACATAGTCAAAGAGCTAGACAAATCGAAGCATGAACATGAGTTTGGCGAGCAGATCGACCTCGGTTACATTTCTCAGAATAAAAGGCTGTTAATGTGTTAATCTAAGCAAAGGCCCATCCTTGTTTCAAATATTAAGCCAATCGAACTAAAATTACGATTTTTTTTGTAAAGATGACCATTTCTCCCTTGGTAAAGTTTTCCTCAAAGAGCCACCTGCGAATTCTACATAATTTTGTGTTCCGAAAGTTGATTTGAAAATAAATATGGAATTGATCGGTCCCAGAGCCACTTCTCAGAAAATCCATTCTTATCGTAGGCATACGTCAAACGCAGAATACATCCTCCTAGTTTTAGATCACTACTATCAGTGGTTTAGGTTGTGGGTTGATCCATCAGTCATTCAAGGCAAAACCTTTTATTTATTATATATATTCATTATTTAATTTTTGTATTTTAGTTTATTCCCAATAATCATATTCATATTATATTATTTATTATTATTTTATTTCATGTTATTTATTTAATATATTATAATTAATTAATTTATTTTCTATTGTATTTTGTTTAGAATTTTTTTTATTTTATATTGTTTTCCTTAATTTTCTTTCATTATATTTTAATTCTTTTTAATTTCATTTTTGTATTATTTAATTTCAAATTTTTTTAATTTTCATTTATTTTCATTATATTTTTATTAAATATTTTTGATTTAAGTTCGATTTTTTTTAATTTAGTTTGTTTTTATTATTTTATTTTAGTTTATTATATCTTATGTTTTTATATTGTTTCACTATATTTTATTTCATCTTGTTTTATTTAATTAATTTCATTTATTTTTATTTTATTTTATTTTATATTAATTTATTTTATTTTAATTTTTGTATTATTTGTTTTTATAATTTTTATATTTTTGTAATTTTTATTTATTTTCAATACATTTTTTATTTTTTCGTGTTGTTTATTTAAAATATTATATTTAACTAATTTATTTTTTTATTTTATTTTGTTTAGAATTTATTTTATTTTGTTTTATTTAATTTTCTTTCATTTTATTTTAATTCTTTTTAATTTATTTTTTGTATTATTTATCTATTTTTATATTTTATTAAATATTTTTGGTTTAAGTTTGATTTTATTTTTTTATTTTAGTTTTCTTTTTATTTTTTAATTTTAGTTTCGTTTTATATAATATTTTATGGTTGAAGCCCGTCCTCTTCTCTTGGCCGTCTTCCTCATCTGTTTCCACCTCCTTCCGCCCATACGAAGGGCAAAACTTAGCTAGCGTAGTCGCTGCCGCTTCCTCCTGATTCGTTAAACTATATGAATGTTCCCCCGCTATAATAACCGAGTGGTTAGCAATGCATACCTTCGTACCCTACCGGGAGGCCAGGCTACTAGTCTTGACCCGACAAATACCCATGATTGTGGTCGCCCCTTGGCAGAAAATGTCAAGTCCTCTGAGTGTATTTCTGACATGAAATTAAAAATCCATCAGTCGCTCGAAGGCGTCTTAGTATAAACTGTTAGTCCCTCCATTTGTTGGAAAAACATCAAGATGCAAAACTACAAATTGGAGGAGAAACTCGGCCGGAAATCGCTACAGCGGTTACAAATTAATTATTTAAATTAAATTTCTATAATTTTGGTTGATGGTCTCACGGTATGGCGGTCTGGCCAATAAAGCCAATTTGTATCAAAACGCAAACATTTTCTTAGCTAGGCCCGGGACTCAAAGCCACTAAGGGAAGAAGCGGGGTACATATGCATGCGATATATGTGCATACATACTCGTACGTGAGATAATACGCAGATTTGTCACGAGCTCCTCTCTCATAAAATTATGCTGATCTTCGAATGATATAGTCTTTTTATGATATTTTTTCTAAAAAGTCGGAATTTATGTCTTATAATGAAAAATAATAAAAATTGGCTCCAAATCAATATAATCTTTGAATTTCACATTAATCGCTTGCAAAACCCAGCAAGATCCAAAATCACCTTCGTAGGCGGTTGACGCGTGTAATTCTTTATATTCATATTGCACATACACACATACATATGTATTAACCAACAATTTTTTAAAAAATTTCGAAAATGTGTTTTATTAAAATATTAATAATTTTTTTCTTTTTTTTTTTTGGACGATAAAGAAAACAACAAAACACAATATAAACGTGCAAATCATTTTATTCTCATGCATGATGGTCTCATTTAAAATGATCTCTGATTTGTATTTGCCTTTTCAATGTCACTTAAATATTTTATGACTTTTATGAGCTTACATTGTGTGTCACATTTGTATGTATGTATGCAGGTGTGTACATATGTTTTGTACATACATGCATGTGTATGTGGAATGTGTTGTGTGCCCTCGTGGTTGATTTGCTACGCTACCAGAGTCAATACACGTCACATTTTCAGCGTGTTTTAACGTCCTTAAGCTTATATGTATGTATGTATGTATGTATATATGTATGTAAGTATTTTTATTTATTTATTTTTTTATTTTCCATTTTAATTACATTTCATTTACAATTGTCTGATATCACCGCGCTTTTAAGCTAGGCGCCTAGGCCTGCACATATTTAAGCACGTACAACACATAAGCATGCACACACATACTTGTACATATATATGTACAACAAGCCTACAAGCTTAGAAATATTTCTGTTCAATTTGCCCTGATTTACAATTCTCCAATTGTATTCATTGTTTTAAATTCTATTGAACAATTTCATAAATGTCTTTTTTATTATTGTTTCGGAGTACTTTAATCACATTTAATTACATCAGCAGCACTAAATAATGGACTTAATGAATAGAATTTATTTGTAATTTGTAATGTTAGTCAGTTTGTGGATGGCAAGGGAAAATATGTGTATATACGTATATATGTAAGTAGGTGAGTACCTGCATTAATACATATGTTTTATTGCTGGTTTCGTATTTATATACATGTACATCATGCCTCGCCATTCATCTGTGAAATTGTTTATAAAAATTAAAAAAAAAAACTATTGACAGACAGACCTTTAAAGTACCGGTTCTGTTTTGGGGAGCGGCATTTAATAATTGTGTGGAAATAGAAATTAAAATTCACCTTTCATTATTGCTTTTAACTGCTTTTTGCAAATTGAGTAATTAGATAAATTACTTATCTAAAGGGTGTTTTTTTTTCTTAGGCAGGTAGCTCAAAAAACTATATAAAACGCACATAATTTCATGTAAAGGCAAATAAAATTTAGTTCTATAATAAGGACAAGAGCTTATCATTATATTTTAATAATGATTTTGGGCAAGTGAATGGGATGGTCGACTGGCTCATAAAAGATTCCAGCCGAGAAACCTGCTTTTCGAACATTTTTAGCAGTAATTGTGGACGTTTGCCAGCAATAATACGCCGAATATTCTATTTCAAGACCTCGTTGTCTCATCGAGTTTATTTGCATAGACAAGCGACTTCACATAATTTCACAAAAAATAGTCCTTATATGCTAGATCGCACGATTTTGAGGGCCACGCCACCGGCGCATCAAAAATTTCCTTCAATAATTTGTTTGTTCCGGTGGCTGTACGACGTGTAGCGCCAAATCAGCATCCTCTGATTCGGATACGAAAAAATCACTAATCAGAACTTGTTAGGGTTCCCCTTTGACTGTTACATTATGGCCGGATTAATTTTTAATGAAATATTGACCAATGATTCCCTTTTCCCACAGAGTACATCAAACAGTTTCTCTTAGAAGATGTAACCGCGTCTCAACAATAGCTTGTGGATTATCAGCGTTCTAAATTCGGTAATTTCGTTTATTAATTATGCACCCATTCAATTAAAAGTGAGCTCCGGAATTTCTTGTGTAAACCGGAATCAATGGTCATCTCCTTTTGGGCGCATTCACAGAGAGAACGACCCGCGTGAGGGTTGCTCGGCTTCAATTCTTGCACGAATTGATCCTT